TACGTTTAACAAAAAATGATTTTTTATAATTGTTAAAAAATTAAATAAATAAAATTTGCTTTATTGCGTTGAAAAAATAATATTGTTACATTAAAACTTGATCATTTGTTCTAAAAATTACATTATCCTAAAAAGTAATATTCTTTTGTTAATTTCGCCATTTAATTTTATTTCGTTTAAATGAAAAAAAATATCATTTGATGATCATCAATATGCAGTATTCTAATATGTTGCGATTAACTAATTTGCCACATCCTATTATATTGCACATCCCTCTTGTACGACTCGTTGATTTCAATTACATCAGTTGATATTTTATCATTCGAATTTTGTTCCTTACATATTTTTAATGAAACCTCCTTTAATGTTTAAAATGTTTTCAATAGTAATGAAAGTTCTAAATAAGCTCTATAGATACCCAAACTATCCAGTTTTACTGGAAAAGACTCCAGAGGAAAATAAGTAAGTGCATTTTACTATGATTCTTGAATTGTTCAGTGTTGATTCATTATATGGTTGCAGGTTACCTTTTCAGATTGGTTTGAGAGTTTCTGTAGAAGCTTATAACAATTTTTTTGAAAATAATGTTTCAACTGGATATAAATTTTACTGAGACAACGTAGACATACATATTGTCGATATAGCAAACTCTGAGCATAAAGCTGTTGTTTTACGATTAATTAGTTACTTTCAAGTGCCAAACAGCGAAATTGTTGATGATCTACCAATAGATATTGCGCTTCAATCATGTAAGAATTTCTCTAGTTTTTCTTGATCTTTGGATCATAATAACATTTTACATTATTTCCTATAGATCATTATGATCCTACTAATGTCAGAGTAAAAACAGCGGCAGATATTGCAATCTGTCCGCATATAATACTTGTTCAACTTCCTCTGAATCCCAGGCCTTCTACCGGTGATATAAAGGTACATAGAGTCTAATAATATATTATCACATTTTATCTTGAGTTATTTTATTGATATTAATATGTTCACATAACAAAACCCACACGCGCGGATAATTGTAGAGATAGCTGTTAGTGAAGATGGGATTTTTTAAATACAAAATGTGAAGGTTGGTTACAATAACAATATGTGTAAAGCGTTTTTGAAATAAAACTTTATGAAAAATGCAAAGGATCAATGACTGTACTATGTTGGTATGTGGGTATATCTACCTATCTGTTTTATTTCTATAATTTCATCTCTAAGTGTTTCTTTTTAATATTAGGCTAAATTGTGGACTCAGAAACTTCTGCTACTAGCAGGAAGTACCCCATCATTAAACTTAACTAGAGTTTCTATTTTACAATTAAGATTGATCCACTATTAGTATTTCCATCTTAGAGCTTAAATATAAAATTTGCAATATTATAGTGAGACTTCAGAACTTTGTAATTTAACAATAATCTAGCTACCGGTTGTACTGGCGTAGGATTACCTCATTATATAATAACAATTTCAGTATCAGATATCTTTTGGGATCTGCTGATCGTAGCAGGAGTTCTGAACATAGCTGGATATAATGCGACAGTCTCTAATACAACTGTACCTCAAAATTTCATCATCGATTTGTATAAATTACAGCATGTTGTTATATTAAAACAATAGCTAATAATAGTTCTTATAAATCTATATTAAATATCAAAAAAAACAGTTTGCACAATACATAACGTAAAAAGCTTAGTTCAACTTCTGACATTTAAAATATTAATATATATTTTTAATATATACTAAATATCACATTGCAACTAACCGTAGACTATTAACTTTTTTACATTGTTCGTCTGTTACATACAAAAATAGAAGTCCAACATTTTCAAGAAATTCCTCGTCATCTTCATTTATTTTTTTGAACAGATTATCTGACTGGCTGTCTTCTGTTATAGCGTGCTTTATGATAATATCACTTCAACTTCAAATCACCTTGGCTATCAGTTCACTTAGTATTAAACGAACTTTTGAATCTGCAATTTCTTTGCTCTGGTCCCAGATAATATCATTGATTTCTGACAATTTCTTACACTGCAAAAAAGACAATAAAAGTGGTAAGAACTTTAGGAAATCCAGTATTATTTTTTGTGTATATCTGCAAGCAGGATGTATACGTAAAAGAATCACATAGTGAGTGAAGCCATCACGCTTCTTTTCCTCATCAGGTTAGAAAGCACCAACCTTTCCTCAAAAACACCGAGAGGCGTAATATACCCAGTCAACATAAACACGCAAAAGAATCACACAATGAGTGAAGCCATTATGCTTCTCTTTCCCATCAGGTTAGAAAGCATCTAACCTTCCTCGAACGTACTGAGGGGCATAGTTAAAAGCTGACAAACAGTCTTGCCTGATGCTCTTTCCTTCGCAATAAACTAACCTTTAATGATTTATGTAACGACAATGCTTTTTCTGCCACCCTTTGATCAGATGCTTTAGAGAGAATGTTCAACTCGATAGCTAATGAAGTATGGGCTCGATCTAGTTTTTGATGGAGATTCAGATTTTGTTAGATCCAAAATATATCGAACGACTCAATAGACCAATCCTGAAAGTTGGTATTTAGCTAGTAATCTGCAAATCGGAAGTTACGAAGCAGTCTAGGATCCTTTGCGTGATATGTGTAACATAAAAAAGACAACTGACCTTCATAATAAAGATTTGGTGGAATGAAAATCATATTTAGTGTAGTTTTAGGCTTTGACATTTAAAGAATAATTGCGTTGAGAAAGAGTTTGTGATTCTAAGTGCAGTACATAAATTTTACATGTAATAGAAATCGATCATCACACACATGTCAAATCAATAACCAATCAAATTTTGCAAAGTTTTTTATTGGTTAAAAATTTGGTGAACTGATCAATCACTGAAATGCGCAGTCTTACTGAGATTTTCACACGTTTTTCTAGTATCGAAGCAATTCTTGCAAATACAAAAATAAGGCATCACTCACATCATATTGCAATATGAAAAAAATGACAGTGAAAAAAATTTCATATGAAAATTATGCAATTAAAGTGGAAGTACTCCGATTGCGATTACGCATTATGAAGCAACTCACAATTACAAGCTAATAATAGTATTTTTCATTCTATAACTTTTTGAGGATCACGAAGGCACAAATGAAACAGATTATAGAAATAATGATGGGATATGATATTAGTACAATGTATAGGATAGTCCCTGTCATGTATTACAGATTAGCTCTTGATTCTTGCAATTTATTTGCAGTTATCTACAGTCATTAGTTATTACTTATTTATAACTGTAGTATAGCATTTATTCTTGAACTTTCCCACATGTACTCAATGAAATTTATTAATTGTAAATTTATAAGGAGAGACTGTTGATCAGATTTTGTGAGCGATCATATATCAATCCTGCAGTTACATAAAAAGGTGATATCCTGGCTAATGAACCCTTTTATCTGCCTTACATAAGAAAAGCAAAATAGATTCACATAACTGGTCTATGCTATAATTGCGAACTTGAGTTTATTGCTTGAAGTGTTGTAGGTAAGACAATATTCCAACTTATCTTGGGAATACATTTTGCTAATTCAGGATCATAAGGGAACTGATTCCCATTTTCACAGTACTATTTATTGTGTAATCCATAATTTCCATGTTTTTTATCACAAATAGGGCATGATGAGTTCCATGGCTGAGCTATTGCAAAATTATAATTATCAATTTCCCCTAAAACTATTTTGGAATTTCAGTATGTGAAATGCTCTAAGACAGATTCAATAATTAATTCTGGATAGGGTTTGGCTTCGTAAGTGATAGGCTTGAAATCAGAGGCTTGAGGTTTTGCTGATATACTTATCACAGCTTCTGATAATTACCATGGCTCATTTCCAATTTTTTTTTATATCTTTTATATAAATTGAAATGAATTTTATCTGTCAAAATGCTTGGTAAACCAATTAATTCCAATCCAGATATTCAGGGGTTAATATTTTATCAGACTTGGTCATTTACCTTTTTATGTGATTGCAAATAATTTAAATCCTTTTTTTCTCATCAATTCGAAAAAAGATTAAAAATTTTCAGATAGAATGCTGTCTAATATTTCTTATCATACTTTCAAAAAAATAGATTATCTCTTACGCTCATAGAACAGGAAAGACTATGCAGTTATCTCAATTTCACGCTATTCATATTTAATAAAGTAAGATTCAACTTTATACCTACCTTCTATTCTTCATCATCATGACCTAATTTATATAATAAGCAGATGATCTCTCTCGAGATCCCACATGATGTCTCATTAGTAATCCCATAATAATCAAAAATTTTACTATTACATTTTCTAAATAAATTTGAATATTGATCCAATATCTTGTTGCAAAAGTAGGTTCAGTTATAAGTTAGCTTAGATTGGGCTCATATATTAGTCTGAAGTCTGAGATGTAAGTGGTGTACTTTTTTTGATATCTGGTGATTTTTTTGATTCAAACTTGTTTGATTCAGCCAGTAGATCACATGAGCGTGAAGAATTCTTTATGCTGATCACTTTTTGACATTCTGCAGTATAAAGGTTTATTATATTTTGAATTTCTGCATTTGTTAAACTTCCAATAGCATCGACTCTATATGTAACTAACCTGATTTTATCTACTCCTATTTCTTTAAACAGTGTATAAATATTTTTAGCTTTTTTGAGTCATCTTGCATAAATTTTCTCTTTTCATACCTGAAAGGTAAGATACTATTTTATCGTAAATCTGCGTTCTTGCCATTTGATCACTAATATTGCTTTCCAAAGCAATAGTTATGCCTTTTTTTTCGAATTTCTTACTATAGTAATACCAAAATAGTTTTTCTTTCTGATTAGTTTTTTTGGCCTTATCAAATAAGTGAGCTAAATAAGGTATAGAATCTGAAGCTAGATCTGAATCAACTGAAATTTGTTTACTAGATGCAATAGAATTCAGTAAGGATTAATGGCTTCTAATGAATTTAAGTAATTCACATACTAAGCCTTTTTTTACTTTTTGTTTATAGGAATTTTTTCCTTCTTACTACCAGACATGATTCAGATGATGGACTGGCAAAATAAACATCTTGTCCATCTTTTTCGTTCAAGGGAATGACAGAATCCTAAGAATAGATACCAGAGATATCAGCTATGAATGGCTCTGAATCCAAATTCTTCTTTCAGGAATCACTAGGGTTCTGCAAAATCGAATCAAATCAAATATTTGATTGAATCAAATCAAATCAAATCAAATATTTGACGAATCAAATCAAATCAAATTAAATATTTGACGAATCAAATCAAATCAAATC